ATCCTCGTTTGGATGTGATGGCTCACAAATTGGATCAGATTTCTTCAGACCAGTACAACTTGGATTTATTAATGTTGTTTTATTTTAATTTTTTTAGGGGTATGATGGGGATTATATTAACAGCAACAATCATTGGCTGGTGCAGTTTCTCCGCCTCCAAGATCTTCATCTCAGCTTTGGCCATGGACGGGCAGCAGTTATTGGTCGCTTACCCCTGCGCTCTGCTATACGGAGTCTTTGCACTCATCTCTGTCTTCTGAAAAGAAAAGAACACAATAATCATTGCACAACAGTTCAAAATAACTGCTCACAAATTTCTGTAATTTCAGTCTAATTAGCACTGTGTAATTAGTGTAATCATTGGCTAATTGCACAGTTGCTGCAGAAAAATGGACGCTCCCATCTAAAACAACACTTCTGTTTTTCTTTTTAATAAGCCTCCTCCTCCCACCACATTCCAAGTTGAAGGGTGGAGTGCAGCCTGACTCTCCTGAAGCTTGCTCCCTTCATGCACCTAAAAGTAGAGGACTGTTCAACAGATTTGGTGGAAGATAACACCTGTGGACCACATTGAGCCTTACATGGGCTTAGTTCAGTCCAATGATTATTATTTTTTATTTAAAGGACACAGAGCAAAAGGCAACCAAAATATTTACACAGTGGAGTCAGTGTATTTTCGACACATAAGGGGAAAACGTTCCTAATTGTTTTACGAAGGACCAAGCTGAAAAAGAAGCCGTAAATCATGGTTTTATTTTTCTAAGCCTTTTCTGGCAAACACCCACAGATTCTACAAGAAAAAGACGAAGGGAAACACCTTTGTCAGACAACTTCTGCTCCTTTATGTTTCAGAAGAGTAAAAAAAAGAGATTGTTCTCCCAAAAATACTTTTTTGGTCCAGAACTTTGGAGCAGTGAAGTCCACCAGTACCATCAGAAAAACCTGCTATATCTTGTGAAATTGATTTAAATTTTTTTGCTAATTGTTTTGCACAGAAACATTCTAGACTTCTCAACAAATTTGATTAGATGATGAGTAATTGGTCCGAAACATAGTTTATTTGTCCAAACTCAGACATTTTTATATAGTTTTTTGTCATTTACTCCCTCGCATCTTACCTAATTTTAGAAGCTGTTCCCTCTGTATGCTTTGATGCCGTTTGTTGTTCCTGTCTTTTCATGCACATTAAAACTGGTTTTGAAGAGTTTCTGCTTCTTCATTAAAAGCTACAGTTTTTTTTAATTATTATTTTTTATTATAGGCATGCAAAAAGTTGTATTTCTGCGATAAGACCTGAACTGCATTTTCCAGGTGCAAGTATGGGAAAACCTGTTAATGCATTTAATTATTTTATTTTCTAAAAGATTAAAATTCTCAAAATGTTTGGAAGATGATGAATCGAGAGCCTAAATTTGTACGGACTGGCTGGTGCTCGTGGTCGATTTCGTCAAATTAACTAGACCATCCACACTGAAGCTGTGCTGCACAACATGGCTGCTTGTGTGAGAAACACTCAGGCTTTTAAAAATATGAATAATGCAAAAAAAAAAAAAAAGGAGTGGAAGCCTTTTTATTCTGTAACATCAAGGAGATGTTTTGCATTTCGTGCAAGTGGAACAGTAACAGTCGGCTCGCATGGTCAAAAGTTTAGAAATTGATTCCATCCATGCATGATCTTGTTTGTTATTAAACCATATATATA